CTTCTTGTTCTTCTTGTTCTTCTTGTTCTTCTTGTTCTTCTTGTTCTTCTTGTTCTTCTTGTTCTTCTTGTTCTTCTTGTTCTTCTTGTTCTTCTTGTTCTTCTTGTTCTTCTTGTTCTTCTTGTTCTTCTTGTTCTTCTTGTTCTTCTTGTTCTTCTTGTTCTTCTTGTTCTTCTTGTTCTTCTTGTTCTTCTTGTTCTTCTTGTTCTTCTTGTTCTTCTTGTTCTTCTTGTTCTTCTTGTTCTTCTTGTTTTTTAAGCATTCTTTTCTTTGATGCGACGTCATTTTAGAGTTGATAAGTCATTCTTATGATTTGCTTTGTAACTAGTAGTGATTATAATTTACCTTGAATTATCGTAGAGAGTGATATCTTTTCTCTCTTTTACCATAGCCACAATCGGTTTCTCTTTACGTCGAGGTTTTCCTCGCCGTCTTCTTAGTTCTCATAATATCATAAAACGTCTATGTCAACCGCTTCTTCACAAATTCAGCTGTTACTTTTTATAAATCGCAGTTGCCGTTACCATACCTTTAAATGAATAAAGACATATTTTTTTATTTCATTCTTTAAAATATATACTGGGTCCGTGTAGGTCCTTAAATCCTTGAAAAGTGCTTGAATTGAAAACTCGTTTTCAAGGACACTTGAAACTCCTTGAAAATTTGAATATTTCGAAAAAGTCCTTGAAAACTCCCTGAAAAAGATAGATCTCTATCACGAAACGCTAGCGATCTCCAAATTATTCCATTCGTCTGAAGTACGTTTTGAGGTAAGAATGCTCAATTATCATTATTATGATGTTCCTTGAAAATACAATTTTGGTCCTTGAAAAGTCCTTGAAAAGTCCCATGTTAAATTTCGTTTTTTATGACTCTGCACGGTCCCTGATATAACAAATTTTACAATATAAAATTACAAAACTATATACAWTGATTAAATAAAGTATAAATATATAACTTTTTTAATCTTATGAGACAAATACGCCTCAAAAAAACAAAAAATGACAAGTCATCAACTTTAAAAGCTACTATTTCATACACAAGCTAAACCAAAATCGTCATTAACGAGATAAAAGGATTTAGTGATAGAACAAGTTCCGAAAAAAAAAACAAGCCAATTAATTTACTTCCCTCAGCTCTTTCTTTCAAAAATTAAACTTAGATATCTAATTTTTCATGTCAGTTACTRTATTCTTCGTCGTCAAGTTTCTATTGTTCATTCCTCCAACAAGGCCGCAGGGTTTTTTTTTTATCTTTTCAATATCATGGCAATGGTCAATGGCATGACAATTGGTTACTATCAATTGTGACTGCTTTAAACTGTTTTGTTTTGTGTGTGTTTAAACTTTTTTTTTTTTTTGTTCAGTTTCTGTTTGAACGAAAACCTCACCTCAAAATGAAAGTTTTGGCTTTGCTGGCGTTTGCTGCAGTCTTACTCGGTAAGTAAAATAAGACAAACGATGAAAGAGTGACGTCATCGATGGTGACGTCATCAATGACGTCATACGGTTGAATAGTCATTTTGCGTTTTAGTTTGTTCTGTTGGCTGTGTGTTAAAGGGCCATGCTCAACCGGCATCACTTWYGAGCTTTTGTTTGTATTGAAAATATAAATRATACATAATATATACATAAAGCACTCTTTATTATCGTTTTATGGTCTACGATTGAGATATTGTAAGATTTAAAAACTGACGGATTTTTCATGCATGGAAAATCTAAAACACGACCGCATTGAATGCTGGTAGAACATGGACTTTTAATTTCTTCTGTTTTTGTCATATATATATATATTTTTTTTTGCTATGTGTTTTGTTTTTTGTGTTGTTTTTTTGTGTTGTTTTTTTTTTGTTTTTTTTTGTTGTTGTTGTTGTTTTTTTTTGTTGTTGTTTTTTTTATGTTGTTGTTTTTTTGTTATAGCTTCTTGTTACCCGCACCCAACATTTTCTTTCTCATTTGGATTATATCTTCTGTATTCATATCCTCAGTTTGCACGTCTGCGTCTAACATGTGCCGAACGAAAGAACCGTGTTCAGTGACCTACAAGACCATTGGTTGCTATAGAGACTCAATCAGTGACCGTGTTCTCCCAAACTACATCTACAATGAGCGAGACAGTACGATCTCTAATTATGGCGGTCGGAAAATCGAATGGCATAACTGGAACAACTATATCGCAGAGTTTTCGTGTCGTTGTGCTAAGAAGGCGAAGGAACTGGGATATGACTTGTTTGGCGTTCAGTTCTATGGTAAGGCTCACTAATCCGCCTTATGGCAACGCATGTTATATCTATCCGTCAATCAATTCAACAATTTGTTTATCTTCCATTTGTTTATTCCAAGGAAGGATCCAGGGGGTGATTAGCGTAGCACCTAGTTAACACCTTCTGATAGCCTGCGTTACATCCGGTTTATTTCGCCAAAATAACCGTCTGCGAATTATCGCAAAAATTCGTGTTCTAGACCACCAGCCGAGTTGCACGGTTATATATAACAGGCCTTCATTGGCTGCTGTATCAACTCAATCTTACATGCGTTCTTATTCGCTAAGAAGCTCGAACTAGTCCTACTCGGAATATTGAATGTTTGGTAATAGAGTTTAGAGGTCGTTTGAATCGAACGAGGGATTTTAGTTCTTTAAGTGCTCTTCCATAAGGAGTTTGCAATCTGTTTTTAAGTTCCTCGCACCAACATCTTACTGAGTGACTTGAGATCATCGGTTTAATTCCGGGAGGAGTGTTTTGATGTCCACTGGACTCTCACTTTAACGTTCGCTTTCTTGACCGATATGCAGATTAATTTGCCGTTCTGGTAGTGTTTATACTTGTCTTATTCTTTATTGACGAGAAGAGCAACCGAAGAATATTTGTGTCGTCTGTTCGATCGGACATTGAGTGATCTTTACCGTTACCCTGATTATAGAGTCTTTTATTCTTTTGCTTGCTATATWATGGAGCGGCGAAGCGGTGAGACTTTTCCGTTAATCGTTTTTTTTTTTGGCGTAAAAACACTACCGTTTAACGGAAACCTCTCAACGCTTCGAGATCACATAGTTCGAGCTTCTTAGCGAATAAGAAAGCTCGTAAGATTGAGTTGATAGAGCAGCCAATGAGAGCCTGTTATATATAACCGTGCAACTCTGCTGGTGGTCTAGAACATGAATTCCTGCGATAATACGCAGACGGTTCTTTTGGCAAATAAAACCGGATGTAACGCAGGCTACCTTTTTACGGTTCAAAACTATCAACAGAAATACAATAGAAATTATGACATAAATAAAGAAAAGAGGAAAAAAGGGGAAATGGGACCAGTTCTAAAAAAAACTAATCTCTCGATACCATAGTGAAAACCTAGTTGTTTTTTTAGATCCTAAAAGCGAACATCTAGTGCTTGGCTTCATTTGGGGTTATTTTTCTACTTTGCTTGCTCGAAAGGGAGGAGAAGTAATTAGAAAGTTGCTTGAGTGGCGGTGTGGCTGATGGATTTCAGTTTTATTGCGATTCCTTGAGATAGGTTTCGTGGCATTCTTGTAAGCGTTAATTGATGGCGCTGTGGCTTTGATAAAACTTAAGTCTCTTGGCTGTTGGAGGAAYGGGACCCCCGACCCAAGCGAAAAMCAAAAAATAAGCAGCATTTTATTAGACTGTCCCGGGGGAGCCTAGGGCACGGCTAAAAAGGGAAAAAAAACTAAAGCAGCCTTCATGTCTTCTTGTTCYGCCATTTCGCCTTCATTCATTCTTGCATCATCCCTTCCYATYATTAATTTCATAGGTGAATGTTGGGCTGGTAAATCAGGCACCCATACTTACAGTAGGCTTGGAGCGTCAGAGGACTGTTTGGGAGATAACTACAAGGCATGCACAAGCACAGATCGGTACTGCGCTGGAAAACATGAGACTAACTTTGTCTACGAGATAAGTACGAATACGAGAGTGTAAATGCATTACGCATGAGTTTCGTAGAACTATGCGTCCGCCATCTTGAAAAGTGAGACCCGAATCACTAGATGTGACTTAAAACAAATTTCATAGTCAGCTAACCTATTATTATATCGTATTATAAATTAACTTTGACATTGGCTGAGAAGCTTTTAATTTCTTTAGGATGTAATTTGTAATTCATTGATTCGAGTCTTTTCGATATAACGGACGCATTTTTCTCCGGAAGTACTATAAATGAATGTATTAGTTTTGTCGCAGCAAACGCGGCTGCGAGGAGATTACATGAATATAACGCTGTGAAAAGAGGACTGGTTAAATTAAAGGCCCAGTTTGCACCATTATGCTTTGCGCGCCTCTGTTATTGTTATGATTTATACCAAAATACTTCTAGTATCCAAACATCATCATAAAACGACTTTCAGATGGTTAAAAATTCTTATATTAGCGTTTAAAGTGCGATGGTCAAAGATTCGAAACACACAGTACAATTTAGAGATTTTCGGTAAACTGAAAATGGCCGCCTTCCGGCCCACGGCCCCCAAAGCATAATGGTGCATACTGGGTCTTAAATATAAAAGTATTAATTTACCATTTCTTGTAGTCGATAATACTTGCAGCCTTGATATTGAGCAAGTTGGCTGTTATAAAGACGCACACGTTGACGGAGCTAGACCTCTGGGWAACTATGTCCTGAGCGACCGAGATACAACAGTTTCTGTGTACAGTGGTCAATCCATCGATTGGAGAAATTACGACGTGTACTTGCCCGATCTCATTTGCAGATGTGCGAAAAAAGCTAAAGAGAATAATGGAGAATACTTTGGGCTGCAATTTTATGGTAAAATATATATGCCATTGTTCACGCATTATTTATGAGTTGTTGTTTTAAAACTTATTCTAAACCTTATTTTCTGTTTCTGCTTTGTGGTCCCTAAGGCCCTATTTACATGAGATAGGGTGCCCCTAGGTGTAGGGCCAAACTGTTTTGTTTTCAACCTCCAGGGCAAAGAAAACAAAGGCGTTAGCCCTAACACGAAGGGCCACCCTATCTCATGTAAACATGGCCTTTTAAAATACTGCAGTTTAGTTTCGAATTCATAGCGAAAAAAMCGCTGCTTTATTTGACAACAGATTCTCTTGTGCAAAGACTTGACCAAACACAAAMGAGAGCACGAGATCACAATGTCGTTATTACAAAAGACTTGACAATTTGCATTTTCACGAGTTGAGAATAACCCTGTATTCCCATAAAACCTAAGGCATGAGCCTTGTGTGAATACGGGGTTAGCCTCAACTCGGGGAAAGTACGTGAAAATTGTTAGCGCAATTAGAGCGGATTTCGTATGAGTGGGACACCGTTACCGCACGGTTACCGCACAGTTACCGCACCTGGCCTGCAGAATTTTGGTGAAACAATGGGGCACTAGAATTTGGTTACAGTACGATTACGGACACAGTACAGTACCGTCCGTTTCCCACTCATACGAAATCCGCTCTATACTTACAACATTTTCTCGTGCTTTATTTTGTGTTTGTAAGGTCTTTGGATAAGAGAATCTGCTGTCAAATAAAACAGCGGTTATTCGTTTTGAATTCGAAAGTGGAGTATTGAGATATTCGTAAGATTTGGTCTTAAAACCGACGGTTAAAAACGGATTGCGAATGGGTATTTGAAGTCACCCTATTTTACATATAGCTATTTCAAAAAAGGTTGTCGGATAAAATAGCGAGTGTCAATGGTCGAACGGCGATTGCACAACCAAAAGTAGCCATGGGTTTTGCTAATTAAAGGCAATAACAACTGATATGTACTGTAAAATGGTCTGTGGTAAAAAGTGGCTCTTTAGTCACCATTTCTATAGAAGGTGAATCCAATAAGTGAAATTATGTTTATCAAAACACAACACTGTAACCATAGTAGTGAATATTTTCATAGACCAGGATATGAAGTTTACTAGTTTCTTATCTATCCCTAGTAGAGTACAAACACTAAAACTGTGCAACATAAATACCACTAAATACTGCTAAACTATGCTAATTCTATTGTTTAATTAGCACTATTTTGTAGTAAATAGTAGTAACTGTTGCACGCTTTAAATGTTTTTACTCTGGTACATTAAATTTGTTTAAAGGCGGTAGGTCTTGAAGATAATCAATAATGTTGTCKTATCAGGGGAATGCTGGACCCACYCTAATGGTGGCAATACCTTTGCGAGAGACCATGCTGGAGACAACTGCGTTGATGGTTGTTTCAAAGAATGCGGGGGTAAAAAATACTGTACTGGCCAACAATTTCGAAACTATGTTTACAGAATAAGTAAGTTACAATCTTTTATTAATTTTATTATTATCATCATCATAATCATCATTATCATCATTATCACCATCATTATTATCATCATTATCATCATTATCATCATCATTATCATCATCATTATCATCATCATCATTATCATCATCATTATCATCATCATCATCATCATCATCATTATCATCATCATCATTATCATCATCATTATCATCATCATCATTATCATCATCATCAGTATCAGTATTATCATCATCATTATCCAGTGAATTTGACTCCTAGTTAGTACGGACATTAATATTCAATATGGCGATATTTTGATGTCCGGTTTAATGAGGTTTCAATCTATTTTTGTTGACACAGAGGACTCTTCAAATCAAGGGTGTGATGTTTCACTCCAATCTATGGGATGTTACAATGAGGTCGTCAACGATCGTGCATTGGGTAATGAGATCAAGAATATTATACCCGACAGTAAWCTCTTCTATGGCGAACAATATACCAAGGGAGACTGGAACAGTTTTTTCCCAGGTTTCTTGTGCGCTTGTTCACGTGCTGCAAGGGCCAGAAGCTTTACATACTTTGGCRTCAGTGATTACGGTAAATGACATTCCAACCTCGTTCCCAGGACCTTTATCTCTTTGCTAAAAGGGATAAAGGGCCTGGGACTGAGGTTGACGCTATTTTTTTGTTTTTATGATCTTTATTTTCTTTTTCAACTCATTATACGTCACTATATTTCTTTCTATAATTATAWTACATTACATTCAATTTTCCAAATTCTGTTCATCTTGAACAAATTTTTTGATAAATATTACACTAGCCATTACTATCAGATAGGACTTATGTCATTTCAAGAWTTTTTCTTATATTTCCTCTAATTCAATATTTTTTAGTACTTTTGTAGATTTAGTGACATTAACCTAGATTTCCTTCTAGACACTATGAATTCTATATTCTATCTTCTCATATGTTTTAATTTCTATTTGAAAATCAATAAGTAAGGGATTCTTATCCCTTCCTCTTACACTATTCAAAGAGAGATGATCAGCTGTCATGCAATGCGGTCGCAGTTTARTTTTCCKGTCRTCACAAAGCCTTCMAATTCATATCAAAGAAATAGTCTCCTTCACGGTTACCTGCGCCATMTTGAAAGGTAGCCATGCCTTTGCATCGAAGYGAGACGACCGTTGAGCRTGCAATGATAGAAACCTTCTTTCACACCTACAAACAATTAATCAYAGGTTTCTATCATTGCACGCTCAACGGTTGTCTCGCTTCGATGTAAAGGCACGGCTACCTTTCAACATGGCGCAGGGAACCGTGAAGGAGACTATTGCCTCAGAAAAGTTGTCCTTCCTTTTCCAGCCATATGCATAACATAAATCACCGCAGTGAATAAAATTTATATTATAGCTATCATGCATAGTACGTTCTCTCTGATTGGAAAAATGTTATTGTTTATTACACCTGTAAACGCACGGATGCGAAAATGCTATAATATAAAAGCAATAAACAACATATTTTCGTGCGTTCCTGTTGAAATAAACCACTTTGGATATATTTGGGAAAACACTCAAAAGGCTGAAAATCACTAGCCTCCGGCTCAAGATTTTGTACGTCTTCTTYGCAGTTTCTCCCAACATCCCGAGTGGTTTATTTTACCAGGAACGCTTATTGATCAAGGGAAAAAAAAACAGTTTTCTTTGCCGAAAATTTGACAACTCTGTATGAAATACTGAGTTTCTTCGACGTAAGTCTGGTTGGYTTGGTATTGTTTGGTTTGGCTAACTTTTGTTTCATTTTCTTTTTTTAAGGTGACTGCTACGGCGGCAACAGTGGATACGACAAGCACGGTTCCTCTTCGTCATGTTCTGAAGGTCTAGTCTCAAACGCCACTTGCAGTCAAGGCTCAACGTTGTGCGCAGGATCTGAAAAAACGTCCATGTACGTCTATAAGGTCCTTTCTGAAAAAAGGTCAATAGCTGATGATGCTCAGCTTCCTGTCGAGCTCGACAAGGTACTCGGCAAAAGAAATCAAAAAAGAATGGCGAAAGGAKTTTTKCGCGATTTCTAAGAAAACAAACAAGTCACATCGTCGAAGTCAACCCAAATCACGGCGTTTAGCATTAATTCTGTAGAAATCGAGACTATTGGTAAATATACATATAGCAGAGTAATATGATAATTGCAAATATCTTTATCCAAGTAGGATCTGAATAAATACACTCTAGCCACTGAAATATATCATTATATTGCATTATGGGTAATTTTGTGACTTTCCCCTATTTTTTCCTCGCTAAAACAGATCTCAAATCATTCAAATAGTTTGAAGTTATGTTTATTCGAGGTTATTCCAACATAATCTGTAGTCTGACGATACTATTTATATATTTAGATAAGTTGGCGGATAGAATTCTTCAACTGACTGTAATCAGCAGAGAAAAATTATTGCTTTTCACTTCAAAGTGATTTTTAACCCTCTTTTTTCTGTATAAATTACCCACAATGCATCCTTGTATGTATATATACATGTTGTTGACTTTTACAGAGATTTTGCAAAACGCTGTATATGTTCTAAACGTTTAAATTTAAAGCTTATTTGAAAAAAGGTTTTTATGGAGTTCGATTAGCACGATTAGGTACTACGGGTATTAATTATTGCTGGCAAAATATTCACCCAGAAGGAAGTCAATTATTAGGGATTTTTCTTGAAAAGATGAGTAAGTGGTGAGWGAGTGAGTGAAGCTTCGGCCATTTAATTTCCATACTTTACAGGAACCTTTTTTGAAATGGCTGAATAGAGTGGTTAACTATAGAGTCAAGATTAACCGAATTATTTTAGCTATAGCTCTTATAAAAACACGCTTTTTWACTTTTTAAACCTGCTGAACCGGTTTTAAACTTGTTAAACTTGTTTTCAGGCACTTTGGTCAAACCATWATACACCTTCTAAACTTGTCAAACGGGTTTGATATACCGGTTTGGTTAGAATTGCTATCGTAAATTTCAAGAAACCTTTAATCTAAACATTAAAATTTAACTTAAATTTTATTTTTAAATTTGTGTTGACTTCGGMCGTACCTGAACCGGAACTTCTAAATAAGACAGAAAATTAACATTGCAGTTAAATTTGTAGTGAATTTTAATTAATTCTAATGATTAATTGAGATTAAAWACTAAAATTAGAAAAATTGAAACATGCAAACGTGAAATAAAGATTGTCAAATAAATGACTTTCTGAAAAAAACATATGGCTTCACTCATTATTATCTCAATAATTCTTAATACCCAAAATTATACACTTTGAGCGCCGTGCAGTTTGACAAACTACTTTTTAAAATGGCGGCACGTAAATATTTCGTTAAATTTCCAAAGAGTTCAAYTTATAAGCTTTTGTTTTCTCTTGCACAAAGCTTATCGTTAAAACYCCTTTTGTTTCTGATCTGATTCGTTATAATACACTCTAATTGCCAGAGAATTAAAGCTTTAGATGATGGGTAATCTCTTCTTTTCAAAATCACGGAATTTGACTGTGTTACGTCATTAAAGCGATCAAATATTCCCTTTGCAAAGCTCAGACGTCAGAGCGACAGAGTTCAAGAGAGTTTGGCATCGAGTACAGTAAAAAACCCTGCTCCTTATCAATGAATAATGGCTGTAATTTGTGTGGGGATTCTGTTACTGCTGTCAAAATTCACAGGTTAGTTCCACAGGAGATGTAAGGCCTCGCCGTCCACACCTCATATATATAATTCTTAGTAAACAATTTGAATTCGCAAACTTTTTTTTTTTCAAAAATAAATATTCAACGTCCGATAATCAKATCCTAACGCAASCAAWGTTTATCTACATTTCTCATCTATTTAGCGACGCTGGCTCCAATCGAAAAGATATAGATTTAAACTTATCTGCCATATGCGTTTGATGGGCAGAATATTGCACAAATTGTCCCGATTAGATGTATAAGTTCCGCTTTTTAAGCATCTGCGCACAGTTTAAGGTGTTTGCCTTTTTTATTACTTCAAACTTCTGTGAAGATGTTGAGATTTCTTCGAGTAGACGTAATTTGAAATACGATTTTGTAATCAGGCATTCTATTCACGCATCAACAATGAATATTCCTGGAATGACCCTTAATAACAGTTTGTATTATCGTCTCACAATGTAATTTTAAAACCAAAATAAGATATTGTAAGTGACTGAATATATATGGATAAAACTAGTGTAAAAACTGAACTCTAAAGAAATCTGTAAAAAAAGGTATCACAACTTCAGAGTCTAACACTGTAATCCAAAATTAACAAGTTAATGCTCTTTTCTACTTCAGAACTAATAATAACCTCGATAAAGTTTATGAGCTCCGAGATAAATCAATATTTGCATGTGAAAACTTTGCAAAAGTTAATTTCAAGATACGAAAATCAGTTTTACTTGTCAAAATGCTTCGTGGGGATTTGACATCTTATAGCATWTAGATTTTAAAACTGAGAGGGAACGTTCAGGCGTCTCTTTCGTAGCAGAGCCTATGATTTTGAGCGTGGACATCGTTGCGGGACTTCTATGGAATCCTWWACGAGCAAAGAAAGGACGCATTTCGTCAGTAAACAGTCAAAAARAGTTGACGTTTGAGCTGTCAGTTTGATTCAAACTAAGGTGTAATTTATGACATATTAAGTAGCTGTGGTTATTGTTTTGCCACATACGCACTGGGACCWTTTAKCAAATACATTATGTTCTKACAATAGAAGCTTRCGTAAACGCTATGGTAACGTTAGSGTGTAAAACTGAAATATTGCTGAATTCTTTACRAATRATTYTTGCGTCGTAAAGTATGCGAAATAGGCAATGGCAGCGACGTCAGTTACTTCTAGCAAAAGCCTTTTTATTTCGTCAAAGGGAGATATATATATATATATATAGTTTAGCTCTTGGGAGAGCTTGAGTTTTTCCAAATCTCACATTTTTTCATTTTTTTCTTTTCATTAAATTTCATAACTGTTTATTTTTTTTATTTTTCTTCAAAAATCACCAGGAATTTTATCAAGTAGTGCAGCATGTGGCRTCTCATTTGAGCCAATCGGCTGTTTCAACGACGATGGCCGAACGCCGAGGCCTCTTCCCGAGAAATTATTGAATGAGCGTAATGATATCGATTGGGTGAACTGGGACTCTTTCATGGAAGGCCTRGTTTGCCGATGTGCAAAGAAAACACTTGATGAAGGCTACGAAACCTTTAGTATACAGTACTATGGTAAGATCGATAATTCTTCGGATCGATAATAATTATTTCACGAGTATTATCAATAATTCTTCGTCTTGATCGATAATTATTTCATCGTACAATCGACAATTGATCGGTATAATTATAATTGAGATTAATGATCGATAATTGTGCGGCACTATCGACATTTTTGTAGTTAGATCGATAATCGATAATTGTACGGAATGATCGGTGATTGGACATTATTCCCCTTCAAAATGATCGCTCCAATTAATCCAATTATTGACGATTCGCGTTACGTTTGACTCAAATTAAGTCCTTCACGAACCGAGTTAACCATGGTTCGAGTTAGTCAAGTTCAGAGTATTTACAAATTTGACTGAAATTGTAAAGTTTATCTGATTGGTGGTTTTCAGGTGAATGTTGGAGCGGTCCAGAAAACATGATTGACGTGGATCGCGATGGCTTGTCCCAAAACTGTATCTCACACGGCTACAAAGATTGCAAACACAAGAACAACACGTGTGTTGGTAAAGATGGCGCTAACTTTGTATACAAGTTAGGTATGAATAGCGATCTATTTTAATGCTACTTTAGTACATCCCAAGACCGCAATGCATTGTTGTTATTAAACTCCACTATAGCTGAGTCTCAAAATGACGATTCTAAACTTCAAGGGCTGCTTGCATCCAAGAAAACTTTTGCGATCGATTGTTTTGTTTTAAAATGATCTGTTCTTGAAATTAATCTGATTTACAGGTCATTGTTTATTTTTTCTGTGATTGACAGTTCAGTGCTTTCTTTATGATTGACAGTTGGTTGTTTTCTTTATGATTGACAGTTGGTTGTTTTCTTTATGATTGACAGTTCATTGTTTCCTATATGATTGACAGTTCATTGTTTTCTTTATGATTGACAGTTCATTATTTTCTTTATGATTGACAGCTCATTGTTTTCTTTATGATTGACAGCTCATTGTTTTCTTTATGATTGACAGTTTATTGTGTTCGTTGTGATTGACAGTTCATTGTTTCCTTTATGATTGACAGTTGATTGTTTCCTTTATTTCCTTTATGATTGACAGTTCATTGTTTTTTATGATTGACAGTTCATTGTTTTTTATGATTGACAGTTCATTGTTTTCTTTATGATTGACAGTTCATTGTTTCCTTTATTTTTGACAGTTCATTGTTTTTTATGATTGACAGTTTATTGTTTTCTTTATGATTGACAGTTAATTGTTCTCTTTATGATTGACAGTTCAGCCGTCGTGCTCAGTTCAGTTCGAGCGAGTTGGGTGTTTCCATGACGACCAAGAGCCTCCTCGCCCTTTACCTGACTATATACTCAGCGAGCGTGATCCCACTGCATCCTCGTACAACGGCACAAACATTGACTGGGCAAATTGGAATACATACATGCCGGCCTTCATATGCCGATGTGCTGCGCTTGCAAAACGACTCGGGCGCAAGATCTTTAGCCTTCAATTTATGGGTTAGTTGAATCAGCTTTCTAATGATTGCAAATTGAAACAAGCTGGGGTTGTTGTTGTTTCTGCTGCTGTTGTCGTTCTTGTTGTCGTAGTTGTTGTTGCTGTTGCTGTTGTTGTAATTGTTGCTGTTGCTGTTCTAAAAAGGTACTTTTGCATGGAAGAGAAACGACCGTTAAGCGTGCTATGATAGACTTCTTCTTTCCTATATAAAGACCATTATTCATAGATACCTATCTATCATTGCCCGATCAACGATCGTTTCGCTCGGTTACCTCTCAAGATGGCACAGGGAACCGAGGTCAGATCTTCGACCRCAGTGACTAACAGACGTTACGTTCACGTTAAGGAAMTGTTATGGTTGACACGAGACGCRGTAATAGCTGTAAACACAACACTAAAAAAATGCGCATGCTCAGATATTGAAATGATGAATGAAATCATCCAGAAGACGTCTCGATGTCGACACACTTGTTTCCAATTTCTTACAAAAAAGTACAGAGAGTAGTTTAACTCGMGGTGAACGGACCTGTTATTATGTAGAATATTCTCGGCTCTAACAAGTGTTTTTAATACATATTTAGGCGAGTGTTGGAGCGGTGCTAACGCCGTCAAGACGTACGATAGAAATGGGGAATCATCTCGCTGCATCAGCAAGAAATTCCGACCATGTAAACCTGACGATAAGTACTGTGTTGGACAACAGTTTACTAACTTTGTCTACCGAATAGGTATGATTGACAGCTGTCTATCAATACTGCTTATATATGCATGTTGTGTAATCTGAAGAATAATGATTCAGGARAATTAAAAATTCTCTTCTTGATGTTCGGTCGATCGCAATACTCCAGTTTCGAGATCTTATTTGTGCAGTCTTAACCTCGAAAGCATGTAATATATTCTTTTATTCAGCAGAGATCCTATTGTAATGCAAACACTCTGTGTACAAAGAATACAATAAACAATTTATGCTTGATTGAAACTAAGCTTACACAAAAGAGAATTCGATACTAGAGTATTTATGTCGGATTGTTGATAGACAACATTTAGTACTATAATCGGGCTCAGTCAGAATCCTGTCGCCAGTCAGCATMGGACAGTGTATGAAAATCTCCTAAACATCGTCAGTGCAATATTGAAATACCTTATCAAAGATAACAATGTTTTAAATTTTCTATCAATTGAAAGCATCAACCTAAATAATTAAGATCTTCAGAAAATGATCGGATTTATTCGGAAGGTGGTCGGAAAGCATCGGAACATCTTCATTAGAAGCTTGCTAATCAAAAATATCAATATTTTGCTTATCCTTTCAGTTGAGCCGTGTAATATATCTTATACACAACTTGGCTGCTTTAAAGATAAACTAGACAGTCCTCGACCAATACCAACCCTAATGTCATCGGAACAGGATCGTAGCAGCCGAGCATTTAACGGTTACGCTATCGACTTTCATCGGTGGGACGACCACATCGAGGGCATGATATGCCGCTGTGCAAAGAGATCGTTTGGCAGCAAGTACAAGATCTTTGGCATGCAATCGTACGGTAAATACGTACTATCTTTTGTAGCTGGAAAAAAACGTTACCTTACGTTTTGGTATTTCGTTTGTAGGTGAGTGCTGGAGTGGCGAAGGTGAGAAATCTTACAAACGTGATGGTTTATCAGGTCGATGCGTCACCAACAAATTCACAACATGTCCACCAAAAAGCCTGCACTGCGTTGGTGAAGTCGCGGCAAACTATGTATACTACGTCACTGGTAAGCAAATGACGTCATTTTAGTAAATTACGTCATTGTTACGTCACACCGGGCAAATTTCTAKACATGTATACAACTGTGATTAAAGTATAATTGCATGCCTTGTATGTTTAGTTGACTCTTGTGTCCATGTGATCATGACGTCATATGTAATTATGCTTCCGTCATTTGTATGCTCACTATGTCACTTTTATGACGTCATTTTCAGTGAATTATGCCGAATTACGTCACATTTCGGGCAAACTTCCYATGCGCATGAGCCATAAACATGTTTGTATGTTAATGACGTCATTAATGTTCAATTACGTCATGTGTATAGGTGTTATAGACGTAACATAGACTAAAAAAATTCTCTTCTATTCATCTAAAGCTTGTGATGTCAAATTTGAAGCTGTTGGATGCTACCATGACGATTTAGTCATACCCAGACCTCTCCCTGATTTGATTCTGACCGAGAGGGACTCGACCAGCGCTGTGTTCAACGGTAAACGAATCGATTGGCAGAATTGGGATACCTATGTGCCTGAATTTATCTGCCGATGTGCCAAACAGACCAAAGAATACAACTATGACATATTTGGAGTGCAGTTTTATGGTAATTAGTTTACTTGCTTCGTTATTTATTTATTTTATATTATAGCTATCATAGTACGCGCTCTTTGATTGGTCAAATGTTATTGTTTATTTCACSGGTAAAAGCACAGATGCGAAAATGCTATAATATAAAAGCAATAAAAAACATAAAWATGTTGTTGTCCTGGTGAAATAGACCAATTGTGATATTGGGAAAACACTCAAAAGGCTGAAAACCTCTTACCTCCGAGGCTCGACATTTTTTACGCTTTTTTCGTGTTCTCCCAACATCCCGCGTGGTTTATTTCACCAGGAACGCAAGAAAATGTGTTGTTTATTGCTTAAATTTTGAACAAGAATGTGCTAAAAACATGACATACGGAAAAACCGTGTGTAATTTGTTGTAACCACAGTTTTATAGTCTACAAATTAGCAAAAATCCTTCTTTGTCTTTGAGCTAAGCTCGTGTGAGCCGTGATGGTGTCAACACAATGTGCAAATCCTCTTAACGACACTCAAATCAGCCAATCAGCRCGCGATAATTCACATAAGTGTTAATGTTTTTTCATGGTGATCCCATTTAAGATTGTTTCTTTCTAGAATTACAGCCATTTCTTCTTATTATTTTTTCTTTAATGTGACTATAATTTTCAATGCAACTATACTTTTTAGGAGAATGCTGGTCAGGAAAAAATGCTCTCACTACGTATCAAAGAAACGGAGTCTCAAAAACATGCTTAGGGCCTGGGTACAAACCCTGTGAGCCTGGATCCAAGACGTGCGTTGGCATGGCGAGTACAAACTACGTCTACAAAATCATTCCGTAAAGAATCCAAGAATATATCCAATAAACACGTTCAGAGCACCAAGTAGCAGAGTAGCAATGCAGTTTTGCCTCTGTTTGTATGCTATTTTTTGTTGTTTTGTTTATGGTTATATATATCAGTTTAATATTTAATTTTTCTATTTTTTTCTATCTCGTTTAAACTTGAATAAATGCATGTACATATTTTATTACTTTATTTACTATAGTAAGGTCCCAAAATGTTCATGATAAAGGTATTTTTTTATTTCCCACTTCTTAACATTTTTTTTAATTTTTAAATTTTTAATATCAACTTGATTTTTGAATGTCGTTTATTCTGCTAAAAAAAATATCAACTGCCTCTAAATGAAATACTTCTCTCATCTAAAATAAATTTAATGCATGTCAACGAAATGCCTTTTATAAATAGGCGTCATTCATTTATAGCCATATATGGTAATCTTTCCTTATTTGGGTGTACGTGTGAACTCATTTTTGTCGATTTTCAATCAAGTTTGAAATCGTCTGAAAAATTGAAAGCACAGGGATCCCACTTCAATGACAAGTTGGGCTCAAAAAGGTTACATCATCAAAGCTAATACCGAAAGAGAGCGTGGGAACGGTGCATAATTACGTGTTGAACGGTTTTCTTTCTCTCCCAAACAAGAAGTGCAATGAATTTAAAAGAAACCTTACGAGGAAAATGTTTAGGCATATGTAATGCAATTTTGAAACTAGAACTCAAAATCCCCACAGGTCTTAGCTTCTAACTGTGTTAATAGCTTGTTTGGCTTTCAGCCATGTCTAGCGCCTTTCTCCTAAACACTTAAACGCTTCCTTAAAGATGATGCAACAAGCATGTATTTCCATAACAGCAAGAGTTATATCTCTTTGCTGAAAGTTTCGTGATATGATATAAACATTGTTTATCCATAAGCTCCCAAAAGGAAACGAAACCTGGATGCAAAGATGAGCTCGAAAGCTCATATAGTTTTCAGCCACTACAAACAACACGTACTGAACCTGGAGAAAGAGGACGAGAGACTCGATGAAATTCCTATGTACACACAAGGACGTGACTACCCAAAAACGGCTTATAATGTTTTTATCTTTGTATGTAACGGTTTATTTACATTTCTTGCTTTGATTTGCGTTGTAAGAATTCAAATGTAATCCTTATCTGTCTTTTAACTAATTAAAAAGGAGAACAGTTCCCCAACGTGGCGACCAAAGATATACAATCCAGAGTGTCTTGCTAGCACTGTTTCCAGGAGTTACCAATGCACGATGAAAAAGATCAATAAATATTCCCGTTAAATATTTTATTTCATTAAGTCATTAGCTCATTGATTTTTCTAATTTATGTTAACTAKACTAGGATGTTAACATTTTTGGCATACAATGACTGATTTTGAGAAGCGAGCAAGGAGTATGTCTGTAACGAAAATGACATAAATTTTGCATGCACAACTCCAGCATTAAAAGATAGATTTGATATTTTATAGTATGTAAGTTGTAATGGCAAACAAAAAGAGATTATTTATATATTTTCAACAAGCAAGCTTTGAAAACAACTGAAATGCCGCGCTCAAACCACAAAAACATTTCTGTTGCAAGGCTTCTTCTGGTATGCCAACAATTGTTGGTTTCGAAAGTTTGTCCAGTTTGCAAAACCAAATTGAAGTTTTGAACAGCAACTTCAGTTAAAGAAATGACCGGAAATAGTCGAGTGCCTGCACTTAAAAAGAACCTCATAGCTCAAATATAAGTTTGATTAAGCTCTAAACCAACAAGGATTAAGGCCTCAAAATGGGTGTCAAGGTGTATTTGCATGYTCCATATTTCACAAACTTCAACGAAAGTATCGCTCCAAGCACGTGTGTGACCCACTTGTCTGGGCTGCTGAGTTTTTCGATTATTTTGTTTTCTGTTTAGATTATTTTGCATATACTGAAGCTCTGGGATCAAGTTTGAACATTGTACCAAAGTGCGGAGGCGGGCACTATGGCTCCAAAGAAATAAGTACAAGGCTAGCGTGAAGACAAAAGGGAAAACAAAGGCGATTCTACTTGGAGGTTTTCAAAAACAACAACTTCAGCACGAACTCCCCGAAGAACGTCAGCCACAGCGAAAATAGAATTCTCAAAACAAAATACTTCAAAACTCAAGAGGATTAAACATTTATGGAGCTAATTTCTGCTGATGAATTTTGTTTTGAAGTACTGTTTAAGTTTTGATTACTTATATAGAGGTGATTAGCATCTTTGATTAAGCTGGTTTAATAAGAGGCGATGATTGATCAACACATTTAGATCATCACTTGGGTCCTGTCGAGTTCGTGTCACTTCGACCTGCCAACTCGTCTTGTGCTTTCGTTGTGTTTACCGTAAGAATACCACTTCAAAATAGAAGCGGTTCGGTTAAAAAGTCTCTGAAATCTTCTCTCTAAGCAATATAGTTTGGTTCCGACATTGTATACGATTAATAACAGCTTGCGTAGGCACATAATTTCGCCACGCTGAGACCAAACAAAGGTCCTCTATCGGACTATCTGGACAATTCTGGTGTACACTTAACATTACCAAAGATGCAGCGAAGAAGAATAAGCAGTACTTTTCATGAGCAGATTGCTGCGAGGGAGAAAGTTCTGKCTGACATTGTTGAATGCGAAGACGAAGGAAATCCCGAGGACAATARTACAACTTACAGCAAATGTGCYAGTGATGATACTAGYCGAAGTGGYATCCCATTTCTACATCAAGTTGTATTGGATGGCGATGTGGATTTGCTTGGTAAACTTATCAAGAGCGGTTCCGATGTAAATGTGTGTGATAAAGAAGGCTGGCCGCCACTTAATACAGCCATAAGACAAGGACGAACTGAATGCGCCGCTTTGCTATTGAAACATGGAGCTGGCGACTTTTTCTTTCAAAGACAGAAAGAACAGTACTTACAAAGATTGCAAGTGTCGAAGAAAACTCGAAGAAAGTCACATTGGATGTAATATAASTCAAGCAATTTCTGTGAACCAAGTCTTCAAGATGTATTAAAGCTACAACACGGTTTTATGATTGTTTTGTCGTTCACAAGGGAACCATTTTGAACTCGGATTTTGTCGCCTTAATGAGTGGTATCAATCGCTTAATCGCTTTATCTAAATCAGTATATTTTTGAGTTGGAGAAATAACTTGAAATTTCTGATATATGAATCTTTATTGTAGTTTTGTAGGGCTTATAATATTTATGACAATTTGCCGTTGTTTRCATAATGTTAGTCCGGCCAGGGGATTGTTTTTGGACATTCGKCCAGATCAGCTGACATCTTTAATATTTAATTAATTTGCCTGCTCGATACTTGCAGATGTTCTACAGAATACAAAGGTTATTTACAATAACACTAAAGAGATAAGCAAGTCGTTCTATCTCTATTCAAGTAACTTTCTGTGGCWCTAAACTTGACAATTATAGTACTGTTTTGTGGAATTTGTTTACCATGTGTTGCCATAGACAGGSCCTGGAAACATGGCATTGTACTTGKTCTCGTTCTTGYAATATTTTAGGATTAAAAATAATTTGGATATGACAATAAAAAGGTGCCAATGATGTGCCATTTTTTAACGAAAAGATAACTAAGTTATTTTGGTATTAGGAACATATTTGAAGGTGATTTATTTCAATCTATAAATGATGCTGACGACAAGACAACGGTACATTGCTCGCATGAAACAACATCCTGATTTTTCCATATTTTTGGTAAGCTAAAAACTAAACTTTTCTTAAGAATTCGGCCTGCAAATAAACGGTAAAATATCACTTAGCAATTTCTATTCCGTAAATATTCTTTGAATTTATCTTAAAAAGCATGTTTCTCCTACAATTGATGGTAGTTTCAGACAAGTTTACATTTCGCACGTGTCACACAGCGTCTGACATGTGACAAATTGCTGGCAAAGTTGATAAACTTATAAGAAACGGCTGTTATTTATTTAATTTCCATCGTTTATATAGCTAGCAGCCCAAGTAGAGTTATACTCCCCTATAAAGCTCTCATTCACTTCAATTCATCGTGGGAGACATCTGAGACATAGTCCATCAATTGGTAAACAGTTATAGTACCAATCACTACATTACAAAAGATTTTTTTATAGTAATACTTGTTCATTAATCCATTTCAATTCCTTCAATTAGTTGTTCTTGGCCTAAAGCTTACATTGCAAGAATTTTTTGAGTGTTCTTTGGATTTTAACCAATTTTTTAATGAATGTATGTCCAGCAGAGCACCTTTTGGCATAACAATTCTTCTGGCTAGATGTTTTGATAGTTTTGGCAGAGATKGATGAAGTTTGCTTTGGCACTCACCGTTTACTTTTCTATTGATGAAATGTTTTGATACCATTTTATCCGCTCCAAAAACAYTATCCTAATCTTCAAAAGCATTTTTTTGATTTTAGCCTATAACTTTGAAGTCTTTTATAGAGCTTTTTGCATTAAATGCCCTTGTATTCGTACTTTTTGTCAGTTATTTTCAACTGCCTAACGGCTAAGCGCTCATTTGATTATACTTTATTTGCTAAAAAATGTGTTTACTTTTTTTTTAGCAATAAAATTATCTTAAACAACTATAATAAGACTGCAAACATATTTTTGTTTTGTGAAATTCTGAAGCATTTTAGGATCCAAAACTTATATCACTTAGATTCAAATAACGACGAATTCACATCGAATACAAGCCACTAGAATCTGAATTCATTATAATTTTGAACGTTACAATGCTGAAGAATATTATAGCTACGAAGAAAAGTTAGGTAAGCCAGKTTTYTTTGCCTAAAGATTTTTTCTATCTTTGTGCACGTGAAAGTTTGTTCACATGTCAATCTTGAAGCTGGTCCCCAGGGACGAAATGTTTTCGTGGTATGCACAATGCTGCCGTATGCGGCARATCCTGTCAGTCCTAACTGGAGAGTACTTTATAAATAATGTTTTGCTGGTTTACAAGCTTAAGGCTTAGTAGCTATAATTAAACTCTCACGCATTATGAGGGGACATTGAAGGGTCATTGTCAACCAGAATACCTTTCCAGCTTTTGTTTCTGTTTGAAAATAAAAATATAATGTAATATATAAGCAAAAAATTACTCTTTATTATCCCTTTATGCTCCATGAACGGAGATATCGTAAGATTCGACCTTTTAAAAAACCGACGGATGGAAACGAAGTGCTGATATTGAATTCTAATTCCTCATTTTCCATATATGAGAAATCTATAAAACACGACCGCATTGAATGCTGGTGAACCATTGTCCAGTTTAGTCGCCAATAACTAAACTCGTTAAGTCTGTTAATTCAATATCACCTAGTCAATACAGCTACCATAAGATCACTTTATTACTTTGAATACGGATACCATCTTGAATGTAACTTATTGCCAATATACCGSCACAGATATTTTTTTACTAAACCGTGCAAAAAGWAGATAAAGCTAGGGCCTGACCGGGAATTGAACCCGGGACCTYTCGCACCCTAAGCGAGAATCATACCACTAGACCATCAGGCCACTTCATGAAGTTKGAGAATCTATTAAGTGAATTGTCTGTCTGTCAACCTACTAGAGTCTGTTATTTGCATGTTTAGCTTCTCGTTTCAACCTCTACCTTGTTCCTTTGTATAAAGAAGAAGAAATAAGATTTGAATGGGAAAGACAGCAAAGCATGCAGCATTCATCTAAAAGGAATTTTTAGTTTCTTCAAAGCTATAATTAATAATCATTATTTATAGTGGGGCAGATAAGCGTTAAAAATTGGAGGAATTGTTCACTTTGTAAAGAAAGCAATAAATTGGGCACAATATTTTTTCTTGTGTTGAGAGCCACCTCCCATAATTTTTATTTGTTCGCTGGTTCCGCCACCACATTATTCATGAAATTTCAATCTATTTGATTCAGGTTTTCAGTACAATTTATTTATTTCATCTCCTTTCCGTTGAATTTCATTTAAATCATTTCCTTTTATTATAAATTGCGTCCTGACTATCAAAACAGCACAATTCAAAGTTTATAATAATAATTACACTACAAAACCCTYAGTGTATAAACTAATTTACATGATAATCTATATAAAACTCTCTTCCGTCTTCACATGCAAATACAATGATTTATTGATGGTGTGTGTCGATTCTACTTGGTGGCTGATGTTTACGAAGAAACGCGKACAACGTCTGCAAGTATATTCACTGCCGTTCATGATACAAAGGTTGGTTTTTAACGCTTTTTATCCCCGAAGTTTGTGCAGAAATTAGTCTTTTAAAGCAAAACGGGAAAAAATATTGCGAATTTAAGTTTAGTAACGACATGAACTAGAAAACTTCAAGTCTTCTTAAGCAGTGAATTTTCCGTATTCAGCTAGACACAAAAATTGAAATAAAAAGATTCCTTAGAAGCAAATCTATCGATGTAATATTATAATGACAAAGATCGATTGCGAAAAGAATTCTCAATAGATTTTTCTCGCTTTGAAGTGATAATTTCAATTTTCACTACTAAAAACGTGTTATTTTTATTGACTTTTTGACATAATTCTTCCCTTGTAGTGACATACATTCAATCAAAAGTATTAGTCAATTTTCAAATTGTATAAATCTATCGCATTTGCTTTGAGAATACGACTTGTTATTAAAAAAATAGCACTATAGGTCTTACTYTCTTCGTTTCTATCAATACACAGTGCGAACTTTTTTATGTTGCTTTGGTTACAAGATTCAAAATAAGGCACTTGAAAATATCAAACATTTCAAGTTATTTATCTGRAAGTCATTAATTTTCTTTCTTGTTAAACAATAATAAGCTTTAGTAACTTTATTTTTTTCTAAAAATCTCATGAAAGTCATTTGTTTTGGAATAAGATCAGATGATTTTTCCGCGCAATCTTGATTCCAAGAATATGCAATTGAGTTGCGATAGCAATTAGCTAATAACTCATAACTTTTTATAAGTAGAAGACTGACTTTTTATGCAATACGAGGAAAATGAGTCATTTTTAATGAAGAATTGGATCCCGATTGAAAAATTTATTGATTGGATATGAATCATACTTAATACTTGAGTTTTGCCGCTTCTTTTAACACAGTTAGCGTCAATTGTATGAAAAAAATTCAGAAATTTAGCTAAAACCCGTGAGATTTCAATCTATTTTCATGTTCTTTTAATCAAAGGCCTCTTTCATTTGACGGGTTTTTACTGAATAAAATAATATATTACAATAGGTTTTTTCTAGGTTTTGAGGCCGATTCAGTGTAAAACAGATCGCTAAAAGGGCTTCTTCCATAAAATGTAGAAGACATACGTTTTGAATTTACAGACGTTGTCATCTTAATCAACATTCAAATTAGCGAACGTTCGGGAATTATGTTAAGACTTTTGAACAGACATTGGAGTGATTACCTGGTTAAACTCTCAACCAATCAGAAACCAGGAAAGATGATTAAACAATTCCCTGCTCAGACCCAACTACTGCTGCAAACAGAAAAAGGTCTTAAAAAGTGCATAAACCCTTGATAGTTTCCGATATTCAGTAATGAGGAACAAGATGACGTCCGATAAACGTCACACATCCTTTTACGTCATCAAATGACGTCATCAACACTCCAAAAGCTACGCTTTCTGGCTACTATGTTCTCGCTTTGAAAACATCTTTATTTGATAATCATCCCTTAATTTCGAATTCTAAAAGCGTTTTGTACAAGATTTGAGCCATTGTAGTTCGGACAACGTTTTGTAAATATTGACTTAACGAAAATATTCTTTCTAATTATAATTCAAGAGCTTAGCTACTAAGACAAGAATGGATACCTGTGTTTTCAAATTGAAAAGGGCTTAGTGTACGAGAGAGCTAATTGAGTGCACTCTAATTTAATTAAGTTCATGAAAGACTAGAGCGGAACCAGTCGTTTCTCTCCATTTTGTGAATGGATTCAGCTTTRAGAAAGGTAAAACTTAGTTTTGCTTTTTAAGTTGAATTATAACTGTCATAAAAACTTGGTACTTTGACTATTATACTTGTTTGAGTTTAGAAACTCATGGATTAATTCCCAAAGGAAATTATACCTAAAATCAAACAAGCGATGTTTTCCATCTGTAATTTCTAAAGACCAATTTRCAGCCYTTATTTTCGTCTTTTGTRATTCAAAACTTTTGTCCTTTTATGATGTAAACAAATTGTTTAAGTAGCATCCGAACACKTAGATTATATTAAGACTACGCATAAAGTTAAAACAGTTCTGACTTCTTCGACGAAGTTTTCGAGAAGAAAAGTTCTACATTGTATCTTGATAATACAGTTACTCAAAAAGACAGTTTACAGGTCAAAACCTACAACTTCACAATTTGAATCTCCATCAAAGGTTAGTCGATCAACAGTTTAATTAGATAAATACTAGCTTTGTGTAATAAAACGAAGAAATAGTCGCCTTTTTGCATCACACGGCTATGTTTGGAACATTTTGAAGGTTGCTGATTTTAGTAAAAGCTTTTTGAAGAAGAAACTTTACTCTTTACAGCACTTTGTGTTCATAATAAAGAGTATATACTCGGTATAGTTTCACATCTTTTAAGCATGTTAGTAAACAAAAATGCTTTAACAAGCAAACTCCAAGCATTAATTCAGTAGTCTCGCGCTTTTATCCTTAGGCGTATTTTTTTAGTACCAAAAAGCAGTATTATTAATTGGCAACCCAAACAGCACTCAGCATGTATTCCTTGAAGCAGAACTTTGAGAGATGGATGATGAGTGGAAGTAAGAAAAATATACAAATTCTGCGCACACTTCGGAATGATTAATGAACGTTTTTACAAACATTTTCAACTCTTTTTGTCCACGGTTGTAGTCCGTCACACTTTGTGGACTCAATGGCGGTCGTCTTCATTTCTGTTCAAATCATAAAAGAGTTGTCGACTTAAAGTCATAAAATATATCAAATGCATCAATCATTCATCGTATATTGTTCATGGGAATATCAAAGATGACTTCCATATTACCACAGGGTGGCCAAGTATCAGTCTCTCCCTGGAAGCACTGGAAAAATCGCGCGCTTTAAAGGTTGCAAATTTGATGTAAATATGATGTAAGCGTCCAAAATTCTGTAAATTTAATGGAAATCATTTACATCAAATTTACAGAATTTTGGACGCTTACATCAAATTTACAACCTTAAAAGCGCGCGATTTTTTCCAGTGGAAGAGTATGGGGAGATGAGAAGTCTCAGAGATTCTCAGGCCATCCAAGCCACGTGTGAACATCTATAATTGATACACACTACTAAGAAACTATCAATCTTTTTATYTATTATTTTTAACCCTGGTTAATCAAAAAAGCCATTTTTAACAACGCAGGCACATCCGGGAATCTTTGCGCGATTTTCTCGAATGAGAAAAAAATCGTATCTTTGACGCAGGCACATCCGGTAATCTTTGCGCGATTTCTTCGAATGAGAAAAAGATCGTATCTTTGATTTTAAACTGAATCAAAAAAGCAACTATTAACAGCATATCTCCTCTAAAACAAAATAACGACCGCAAAGGTTCTCGGGATGCAATTATGGACCGCCTTAAACGGTACCCAAAACATGTCATGGAATTTYTATACTTTTTCAGAACTGTTATAGAATGGATCTAAAGGAGCCTGTCCCAGACYCCCGAAAGCGCGCCAAATCACAGCCAAACATTCAACCACTGGCAAAAGAAACCAAAAGAAACCAAAGAAACACTCACAAGAAAATAGATGATATTCCTCTTGAAAAAGACGCTAGCTCATCACCCCCAGTCCCCTCCATACTGTTAGAAGGAGAAGTACTGGACGTAGACCCAGATGTTCCCGAAATTCACCGCGTGGTCATAGCAGGAAATTTAGAACGTCTAAAAGAGTTGATAGAATCTGGGGAGAGTGTAAATACCCCTGATTTAGACGGGTGGCCGCCCCTGCATGCGGCAATTAAGAGCAGAAATTACGATTGTGCGCAGCTGTTGATCAAACATGGTGCAACTGACTTTTTTGARAGACAAAAGGAAGAATATCTAACCAGACATAATCTATCGGCTAGAATTACTAAAGGGAGACTCATGTCATTCTAGAATCGAGGACTCCAAGTCTTAAAGTTTGGCAATGGACGATTTCCGAATTGCGCAGGTCAATTGAATATCGCGCCAAAAATTAGCGTTATGAAGCTCTCTAAATTTTTACCACAGATACCTCGTTTTCATGTGCACATCTGCGATATCTTTTCACGGCGCTTTGTATTTCGGAAATCGTCTATTGGAAAACTGGTAYTTGAAGAAAATTCCCACAAAGTCCTGGATAAAAAAATTAAAACTATAAATAGAATTTTGTAGAGTAGAAAATAACGCAAAAATCTGCATGTTTCACAAAGTGATAAAAAGAAATAATGCAATTCTAACAGTCAAAACAACTTTTTTTAATGTGTGTTGTGATTGACCGTTCTCTAGGCTTAATTTCACTTTTAAACACTGCTAGCAATCCAAGATGGCGGTCATACCACATGATTGTATAAACCGCTGGTCGCAAATACTTAGGTAAGGGCACAGAGAGCCCAACATTAACAAACCAATATTACAACATTGCGGTCTCTTACATTGTGGTCACGTTTCTAGTAAAACTAAAAGCCCCTCRTTGAATTACATTCAATGTGGTCGCGCTTCGAGATTATTAATATAAGGAAAAAATGATAATGCTGCATATTCAACTCCTTATTCAAATGATTTTGCTTTTTTTTCTAGTGTTTTTCTTGTTTTGTTGTTGTTGTTGTTGTTGTTGCTGTTGTTGTTGTTGTTTTTGCTTCTTGTTTTGTCTTGTTAAAGATTTTTACCTGGCTTCGCATGGTTCGAAGCAAGCAAGGAAGTTATAAAGCATACAAAAAATATAAATAAAATTAAATAAATAGAAAAAGGAAGTTATAAAGCATTACTAGCAGATGTCACTTAACCCAATCGGCCCCTTAACAGCCGTTACCAAGAAATAAACTCTACAACTAAAACGAACACCTTACAGTTTAAAAATGTCTAAAGTCAGTAAGTTTGTATAAACAAACATGTTGTGAAAATGCATTTATCAAGGCAGTGACATTTGKTTTTCTGGRCTTCCTGTGTTGATCTTGTAACATACGTGACTTYCGCGCCGTTACTTATCAAAAATGCATCTTGATAATCTTGAAGTTAAAAAGTAACGTTCCTTATCGGTTGAAAACACTGGAAGTTAATATTTAGAACGGTTAAAAGTAATTTAGGTTTAACATTTCCTGATAGAGTCTGTTTAGTYTWAAGTGAATTCGCAGTCGATTCATTTGAATCACCMACGACTCAAAATKTTTCATTCGTGACGTCACCGCTAAGTCAACACAAAAAAMTCCATAAATCTACAATTAAAAACATGAATTTTACTCATTTATTTCTTTTGTGTGTATGAATGAAGAAAATCATGTTTGAATATTCCATAGAATCGAGTTTGATTGAACAAAAGYATGATTTACGCGGACAAGGTGTTACAAAAGAGAGAGAATGACATGTCAGACATCATTGAAGCTCATTGAAACTAAACAAACCGAGTCAGAAAGCGTAGAGAAAAATGCATGAATAATTTAATACCGCAGATAAGATGTGAGAGCGAGTCGGTGGGATGATGGTCAGTTGATTTTGAATGCTAAAGGTGAGAGGATCTCCGCTCGTATTCAACAAATTCTTAAATTTACTCAYAAAAAGCCTTCAGGGAGAAAGACCGASAAAGACMAAGCCATGATCGAAGAAAGTTTAACGAGAGACAGAAAGGACGCACTTAGCAAGATTAAAGATCACGTCTTGACAATTTTATTGCGCAAGGATGCCCTGAAACTTTGCCATCGAGACGAACTGAGAAAAACATCGTCAGAGGCGAGTTTGAACTCGACTTTCTCCAATGATTCTATCATATCTGCGTGCAGTGAGAGAAGTCAYATTGTAAAGTCAAACCCGTTTGGTAGTCCAATGCTACCTCGCTTAATTCGAAGATTCTCGCCCAGACACGTTAAAGTTCAGCGAATTCGGTCAATCGATAGAAACCACTCTTTTACTCTAAAACCAGCGCTTCGAAGGGAAACTTCATTTGGTGGTTCAAATTCTGACGCGGAATCTGATTCTGCTACGTCTTCTCCGCAACTTGGAAAGCGCGTTACCTTCTCAAAATATGCCCTGTTACTTGCTGCAGCGGCTGACAACTCAGTTGACGAGTTAAGGGCTTTATTAGACAAAGATCCTTCTTATATAAATAAACCAAGCTCTTCGGGACAAACTCCGCTTCACAAAGCAGCGCTAAATGGCCACGAAGACTGYGTTAAGTTACTAATAGAGCGAGGAGCAGACGTMAATTTTGCTGATAAGCAAGGAAGAACTCCAATGTTTCTTGCTTGGGAAAAAGAGCATAAAGAGTGCTTTAAACTTATGCTATTAGCATCTAAAGAGAGCTTAAGTAAAGAATCTAAAAACATTTCATTGTAGAACTTGTAATAAATACATATGGAGTGAGAAATTGGCTTATAAAGAAACAGTACCAAAATTCAGGAAAACGAAACGTTTTTTTTCACATCTTTTGCTTACAAACCAACCATGGCTAATTAGAAAGAATATTGAAAAGCTATTGTTTACTTTTCGGGGAGCTTTTATATATATTTTAGTTTTTCTTACTAGGAATTAGCAGAGTATTATGGASATGAATTATTTATCATGATTTTAGCTGAATTTGTGTATATTTTATATTTTGTTATTGCTTAATCACTATTCATCTTAACCGAACTGCGAGACTCCATCTACATGTCTGAAACAACAAGAACATCTTCAATATTATATGGAATTTTGATTGCATTCAACCGAGAAACAAAAACATTAACATTCAATTATATTAATTTCTAACGAAAAATATACACTATATTTTGGATAAATTGAGTAAAAACATTTAATTGATAACTATAGTACAAAAATTTTAGCTTTAAGACTTATTATTAAGAAAAATATTACACAGATTATTAACAATAAATTTTCATCGTCATTTCATGTGATGTTTTCACAATTCTCTTCGCGTGGGCTTTCATATGTGTTTTTTGCAAAGATAAATTTAATTCCTGCAACCTCCGACAAGCATATTTAATAACGTCTAAGTGCCGGCTTTATACTTGCACAAGTTGTATAAAGTRAATCGTTATTTTTTTCGAATTATCTCTTCMTACCCGGYTCACAAACAGCCAGCTACGAATCTGAAAGCGAATTAATTCATTTTCGRGTCAAAATGAATTATGCTCAAGCTTGAATAATTAGCTTTCTGACATAAAAACAAGGATTCTTTAAGTAAACATAATTTTATTATCTTGTTTGATAAAGAAAGTCAAGTAAAATTAGTATACATCTTCAGTGCCAGTAAATTTGCGCACTCAACTTTTTTTTTCTCGTTTAATAGTTAAAGTAAACGAAATTTAAAGTATTACACTCAATGTTATTAATTTTTGCATGTTTCTCTTTTTCAACATGTTTCAATTCCATGAACACTGAATGCTTGTCATTATAACTCGCTAGCAATATGATTTTTCAATATATATAACAGTACATTTTGGTCGAGAATCGATAATATTCGGTGTTTTGGCTTTCGATAGCATTTTAATTTTCATAAAACA